TTAACCTGTCTTAGAAGCCTTTACTCTGGTCCTTGCTTTCACTTCATTTTCCCAGAACCCAAACATCTTTCTCTGGGCTTTGGATCTTTTGTCATTCATGAAGATTATGACTAGTTTGTGATTTGAGACTAGAAATTAATTCATCTTTTTCTGGGCCCTGTTTTCCCTTCCTTTGTTCTCCAAAATAAACACTGCTTTGACATTCCCTCTTGAAATTTTGACCTCATTGTAGACCATAACAGTTTTTTTTTTTTTTTAGTACTCCCTGGAAAACCAGGATTCTGCCCACCAAAGTCAGCAGGAGCCAGGCTGTCTGCTTTGTCATTCTAAGGAAGGTCTTTGCAAGTCAAAAGTTCTGTTTTTCATTCAGGAGAAGAGCTGAGAAATGTGACACTCCTGCTTACAGAAGAGGAAGAAGAGGACACCTTTCACTGCATATGAATGGTAGTCATTCTACAAAGCCATCAGGATGGTGAAAATATTGCCTGAGATTGCTGGGCTCCCAGAGTGTAAGTGTTGTAAAAGAATAAGTGTGGATCTACAATGTGGCAGGTCTGAGTTCAAATCCACCTCCCCTTGTTTAATTGTCAGTTGCCTCTGAGCTGCAGTTTCCTCAGTTAGTAAGAGGGGAATAACTTTTTAATTGGATTGTTCTGCGTATCAAAGGAGATAATATATACTGACACTCGATAGGTGCTCAATTATTTCATTCTGGGAATTGAACCTGGGTCTACTGCACAGAGGCAAGAATTCTTCTACTGAACCATCACTACCCCTCCCTCCAGGGTTTTCGTAAGCACTAACCAGTCATCTTTGTGTACATTCTGACTTAGGGAGGCCATGTGTATCACAGTAGAAACGTGCTCCATAGGGTTTCAATGGCTGATTTTTCAGAAGTCGATCGCAGACCTTTCTTCTGAGGCACCTCTAGGTGGACTTGAACTCCAACCTTTGGTTAGCAGCCAAGAAGGCTGAGTTTGCACCGTCAGGGATTTTCCTAGGAGTCCCTACTTTTGCCTGCTTCAAAGATCATATGGGATTAGGAGAAAGGGGAAGAGGAGCAGCAGTTTCGTAGGGGTAGGCAATCATAAGCATATTTTCCTTCCAACTGTCCATGGAGAGAATACAGGCTTCTGTTCTCCAAGTGAGGTGATGTGTCTGGATTTACTGAAATATGGGGACAGGCTCATGGACAGGTTTCCCTCATTGACTTGATCTCTTTTCAGCAAATGTTCAAGCTCCAGCATCACACTGTGGCCAATCTACTTATCTTGGGCCCTGAAGCTATCAAACATGGAGGTTTTACTGTTCTGTCACCTTAAGGATACCCAGCTTGTTATCGATGAACCCAAAGGAAAGGGGTGTGGAGTTGTAAGGAATGAATCTGAATGACTCTGTAATGCATCTCTGACAGGAGGGTGATGGATGGAGAGAATCCAAATTCCTTTAGTTCCTGGCCCAGGATCCATGTGAGAAGATTTGATGTGATTGTCATGAGGGGAAGAAGGATGAATATGAGAGAGGCTTAGAAGTAGTAGAGACTAGGGAATACAAGTTTTTTTTTTTTTTTTTTAATTCCAATTTTCATGGAATTCTCATTGCTGTGGGTTTTATTATTGAAAACAGCAGACATAAGCCCACAGCAAAAACAACACTTGTTTTCCATGAATAACTGCTTGAACAGGCCAGCAGGGAGGGTTTTGTTCCTCAAAATCTCTCCTAAGACTATTTGGGTCTGTCAGCAAGGTCCTGGAAGAAAATGTCAAGATAGCAGGTGCCTGGTTCCTTGGATGAAGATTCAGGAGTAAGGGAGAAAATCTAGTTCATCCACTCACTCCTCACAGTGTCATGACTCTTGTTTCATGGTGGGGAGTTTAAGTGTTGAATCTCAGGGTCAGATAATTTTTTTAAAAGCCCAGGGAAGTAATTTTTAATTTTGGTTGTCTATTTCTGTACCACAGTTTTGGGGCTTAGAGTATCTCTTCCATTCCTCCTTTCACCATCACCACACATACAAATACATACACCATGCATGCTTTCTTTTTCTGCCACCTACTTTGGTGTGTTTTTACCTTCCTTAGAAGGAGGTAGGTAGGAGATCTTCAGTCTCCCTGACATGACTGCATCTTATGGATTTCTCATTGTCTCTGGCATCTGTGTTGTGTGCCATCAAGTTGATTCCAACTCTGTCCTGTAGAGAGCCTATAGGACAGAATAAAACTCCATAGGGTTTCCTAGGCTGTAATTTTTACAGGAGCAGTTTGGCAGGTCTTTTCTCCCTTGGAGCCACTGGTAGGTTCTGATCACTGACCTTTTGGTTAACAGCCAAGCATTTAAACCTTGTGCCACCAGACCTCCTTTCTGGCATCTGTGGTAATTTAAAATATACCAGAAGCAATAGAGAGCAGAATAGACTCCAAGGCACCTGCTGAGTTTATCTTGAGATGTCAACTTCCTGAATGAAATTTCACTTTCTCTTTCATTCAAAAATTTGTATTGGTTATTCCTTTTGGGAATTATAAAAAAAATACATTATTATGTAGAATCTGCAGAACACCGCATAACGTGGATGAACTTGGAGGACATTATGCTGAGCGAAATAAGTCAGTCACAAAAGGACAAATATTGTATTAGTCCGTTATTGTAAAAGTTAAGGAAATGTTTATATATTGGAGGACATTTTCTTTGTTGGTTACCAGGGGTGGGAGGGAAGGGGAGGGAATGCTGTTAGATAGATAGAGATAAATATTGATTTGGGTGAAGAGAAGGGCAATGTACCAAATGTGAGTGACCAATATGGCAGCATTGAGGATGAGAAAGACAGAGAGAGTTACATGGGCAGTACAAACAACAAATATGAACCCCTTTGTAAATACAATACTGAGTTGTTAATGAAAGCAAATATGGGTATAGGGACAGATAGATGAGTGAACAAGCTAAACAATTATGTCTGTCTAAATGGAGAGTGTATCCAAGATCATATACAGGGTTGGCAGAAAATGGGCCTCTCGAAGAGTATGAAGGGATGGACACTGGGAGGAGGTGACTATGGGGAGGAAGTGGGAGGGGAGCTGCTGCATTGTAAATTTTGGTCAATGACATGAGACAAAGTATATGTGAACTGCTGTATGAAAAGTGAATTTACTCTGTAAATCTTCACCCAAATCCTAATAAAAAAAAAAAATACATTATTAACTTTTTTTCTGATGATGCGATATTTGTTTATTGTAGACAAACTAAAAAATAGAGAAAAACACAAAAAGGAAAACAAAAACCACTGTGTTTTGGTATTATATGATGGCAAATATTTTCATTTATTTGTTTAACAAAATTCTATTCATCCTGAAAATGCTGTTTTGTAATCTGCTTTGTTTAGTTATATTATAAGCCTTTTGCATGTTACTAATATTTCTCAAGGAGCTCTGGTAGCATAGTGCCTAAGGAACTTGACTGCTAACCAGAAGGCTGGTAGTTAAAACCCACCAGCCACTCCTGGGAAGGAAGACGGGGCAATCTACTTCTGTAGTGATACTGCCTCAGAAACCCAAGGAGGGGTCACTATGACTCGACGGCACATTATTCTCAAGAATAATATTTTGCAGTTAAATTATGTTGTATTGTAGAACCGTGATTTAACTAGTTGACCCTATTGTTGAACATTTAGTTAAAACTATGGGCTGGGGGTGTTTCCCCAACTCTTGGTGATCAGTCATTTTACTTAATTTATTCAAAATATCTGAAATACTTCTTCCCAGCAGGATACTTGGCAGCATATGCAAACAAGGGAGACTCCCAAGACTGAGATATTCAGAGTTGGGAGACCAGTGACTGAGCCCCCACTGCTCTTTATGGGGAGTTGTAGAAGGTGCAAATGAAGAAGGTAAAATTCACAACTCACTCAGTCATTAGTCCTGGGGCCTAGGCCTTGATGTACAGGCACCCCAGGAAGCCCAAGTTAAGAGAGTGAACACACTCTGAAAATGGTTCAAGTTCAAAGGGCTTCCTTGTTCCCCAAGTTGCTCTGGGTGCATAAAAGTAATACCGTCTAAATGTGGGAGTCTGGATTGTTTTCCTTTTGGCCAGTGCTTGCTTCTCAATTTTCTTATCTGTCAAACATTAAAGTCAAAAGGTCTGGATCCTTCTAGTTTCCTTCTTAGGCTGGTGCATAATTGGGATAAGGAAGCAGAGTTTCCTATTCTCTTTCTGATCCTGAGGTTTCCAAAGGAAAAAAATAAAAGGGCCTCATCTGGATATATTCCAGAAGCATTTATTGTAAAATGAATTTGACATTCCCAATCTGGGAAAATAACAAAACAAGGTTGTTTTACAGCTCTTGAGGGGTGGGGAGTGGGGAGCTCTCTTGAGGGACCTTGTCTGAGTTGAGCTATAGTCACCTGTCCACTTATTACGACCATTTCCTCTCCATGACTTCAGAGATTGTGTATGACTAGGAGAAGTCCTTAGGTTGTTTTGGGTCCTGTCCTCCCCTGGGTTAGGTAGGACAAATTTTCAAAAGTGTACACTCAAGTGAAAAAACCCAATATCCTAAAAACCTCCCAACAGGCAGATATGTGCTCTTAGCCCCACAGATCTGCGTGAACTTGTAGTTGGTCTTTGTGAAGATGGCCAGAGTGGGGCAAGGTTGCTGCTTCACGAGGCTGAATCAAATCCTTTCATTTTTGTTTCCATTCCCTCTGTTCCCCTAAAGAAACAAGTATTTTGAGGGTCCCTAAACAAAATTTTCCCATGAGCAAGCTGCATAAACACAGGCATGAAGACTGGGAAGTATTTGAAGATGAAATGGCCCAGGTTCCAACTTCAGCTCTGACAAGAATGTGCTGTATAATCTGGGGCCTCTATTTCCCCATCTATATTGGTTATCGTTAGGACTGTGGCCAACCCTGTGATATTCCAGTTGTTCTCCAATCAACTCTTTCCAAAAGAGAAGTTGTGTCCCCCTCCACTGTCATGCAACAGAGCTGGTGAGTTTGTGTGGGGTGCTATTGGGCACTGCCCTTGCCCTGGGACTGGGCACTGTCTGGGAAGTGTGTGCAGTAGTACTTGTTCACTATGTGCCTACACTGGTCACACTTGACAGTGCAGCACCACTGGAATTTGCAGTTACAGCTGCTGATGGTCTCTGTTCTCCTCTCTTCCACCTGCAGGCCACATTCAGTGCACAGGTGCCCGCAGTTGTGTTGTTCCCACCTGGATGTATTGCGGTTGCTCTGTAGGCACTCTCGACCCTCTGTGCCATAGATGCCCAGGCTGGAATTGCGGATACAGTAATCTGGTGACTCCTCCAAGAAGATCAGCTCAATCTCTGCACTAGGAAGGAAGGCCTCCTCAGTGAGTGCCCAGCGGCCCTCAGCACTGTTCCCAGCCCTCAGCTGCCGCTTATCCATCTCAATTTTCAGTGCCTGGTTATACTTGGTCTTCAGATAGTCTCCAGTCTCCCGGAAGTCAGCCAGCTGCAACCAACACGTCTGGATGCTGCAGCTCCCTGAGATGCCGTGACATTTACAGGTTCTTTTCATGGTGGCTCTCACTGCCTTCAAGAGAGAGAGAGAGAGAGAGAGAGAGAATGAAGGCTGTAGGTAGGGAACACTAAGGGCTGGTGATTAATTGGCATACTTTAGAACTGTGCTTCTTAGCTTCAGAGGAATTTCTGGGGGAAGCTCATGAAAAATGTGTATTCTTTGGCCCTACCTCAGATCTTCTCAATTAGCATATGCAGGGGACTAAGGGCCTTGGCATTGGTAATTTTAAAGCTCTCCCAGATGATTCTGACGTAGAGCCAGGCAAGTGCTGAGAAGGTGACTGGAGTCAGGAAACTCTAGGCTCAAAAAAAAAAAAAAAAAAAAGAAAAGAAACCCACACCTCACTGCTGTCAAGTTGATTCGACTCATAGCGACCTCTCCTTGGATTTCCCAGGCAGTATCTCTAGAGAAGTAGATTGCCCAACCTTCCTTCTGAGGAGTAGCTGGTGGGTTTGAACCACCAGCCTTCTGGTTAGCAGTCAAGTGCCTTAGGCAGTATGCCAACAGAGCTCCCCCTAGGCTCTAAGGCCAGCTCTATCTCTTTTTGAGCTTGTTTCTCTATCTGCCAAAGGAAGTAAGAATCACATAGAATAATGATCAGGAAAGTGCTCTGTAAGTTATAATAGAAAATAGGATCATTGTTGCTGTTGTTGTCTTGAAGCTGGAGGCTGAGGTATTTGTGGAGGTTTAGATCTTCCCTCCCCTCCTTGGGTTTCCGAGGTGGTATCTCTACTGAAGTAGATTGCCCAATCTTCCTTCCAAGACCAGTAAGGAACCTCCTGGAGTCTAAACCTCCCACCCCTAACCCCTGGTTGTCATTTCCTTGAAAAACTCTTCCCCTTGCCTCACGCAACCAGGACATCTAGGTAGAGCTATCACAAGAAAACTTCTATGCTCTTGGCTCTGAGTCCAGCTCTCTTTCAGATTTGAGTTCAGGACAGAGCCTGAACTGAGACTGCTACTCCACAGAAGCCTGGAGATGAATTATAACCCTTGTGGGGAGACCAAGACTCTTCTAGAGAAACCTGGATTGAGAGGAACCTTCCAATCCCTGGCAGCCCAGACAGACCCACAGACGCAAGACTGGACAATAAAAAAAAAAAAAAAAAAACAGTTCATTTCTTAGAACACGCAGGTGAAGGATCAAAAATCAAAATCATGGAAGCAAGCCCTTGATTCTACTTTAGTCTATATTTTCAGAAACCTGACTGTGGAGGTGAGCCCAACAAAGGATTCAGTGATAAGTGGACTGGACTGGGAGTTAGAAGACTAGAGTTCACTGTCTGGATCTGATACTTATTAGTTGTGCTGCCATGGACAAGCCACTTGGCTCAGGCTTAACTGGCTTCATCATCCAGAGAATGGGAATAACCATCCCAGTCCTGCTGGGTGGCGTCAGGATGAAATGTGTGAGTGTGAAACAGCCCTCGGTAAGTTGTAAAGGGCTGCAGATGTGAGGTTGTTGCCAATACTGAGCTTAGTGGCTCGTTGGCTGACTGCTATACCCACCAGCCTGCCTGCCCTGTTGTTGTGAAGATTCATCAGGGCTCTGGCATCCTTCCCCTTCTCCAGGCTGTCCACAAAGAGTTTGGAGATTCTTTCTCCAAGTTCCACATTGTCGCTGCAGCCACCCCAGATCCAGCCATGGCCTCCTACACATAAGGAAAGAACACGCTCTGCACACAATTTTCTCCTAAGTCCCAGTAGAAGCATCATGGTCATTTCAGCTGCTGAAGTCAAACCATACCCAAGAGCTCTAAAAGCTTGTAAAACTGAAGGTGAGACAGGGAAATAGAGATGATGAGGGTAGGTGGAGAGAGTCCTGTTCCCATGGCCATTGGTCCACTCTTAAGGTACTTCCTAGCTCTAGGCCTTAGTCTCTATGCCCATAGTAAATGTAGGGACACTGGGACTGGACTAGATGATGTCGAAGGTTCAGCCCAGCTCAAACTTTCTGAGATTTTGTATAATTATTCTACTGTTAGTCATGTCAGAGCTGCCTCCTTCATTAGTGACAAATCTAAGTAAGTCTCTTAGGTGGCCTGCAAATAGTGGAGAAGCTGTGGATTACAGATAACCTATTCTAAACTTGGAACACCAGGGTTAGCTTTAGACTCTCTTTGGCCTGCTCATTCTTTGTTGCCTTGTTAGATTTGGAGTTCGGTGGTACTTGCTAATCTCTGGACTCATGGACCCAGGCTAAACATTCAGGAGAGTCTAGATGCAGGAGTTTCTACAAATGAAGGGCCTGTTGGGGTTGAGGGGTTTGAGGGAACTGTATTTATCAACCTTTCCCTGAAAGACTCTAGCCAGCACTCAGCTCTGCAGGCCCTCACCTCTCCCCACCCCCATCAGAGATCACAACTTACCTGTTTTTCCATTTTTTGACTCATCACAACCACAGTTTTCAAAGTCTCCCATGCTACAATTCTTTGTGATGGTGTACATGACCCCAGCAGAGCTGATTGCATGAATGAAGGAAGTCTCCCTAGTGGCTTGAGAGAGAAAGAGGAGACTGGAAAACTTGGACCTCAATGATCTAAAGCAGGGGCTTTGCAGAAACACTGTTATTTCTCTCCCTTGTCCTCCACCCACTTTGAGTTTAAGAACAGAAAGCATGTCTTTCCAGTATCCTTACTTTATCCAGGAGGAATAAGCATCTCCATGCTGCAGATGGGGTAAGCAAAGGCCAGAGAGATGGTGAAGGAGACCAAGACCACTGTCCTCACCAGTTACAGTGTTGGAACCAGGACTCAGCTCTCCTGAAGTCCAGCCTAGGGGTCTGTGCATTAGCCACTGCTACTTATCCTCAGGCAGAGGCAGCGAGGACTTGGGGTTGTGGGGCTTGCATGGGAAAGAGAGAAGGACCTTGTCTTCATCCTGACTATGAAATAATAATAATGATCATAGCTACCACTTACTAAACTCCAGAGAAGGAGTGAGGAGAGGGCAGGGTATTTCTCAGTATTTGTGGGGAAATTCTGAAAAGCCAGGGGGAATATCAACAGCTCTTCTCATCTGTCCCTCAGTGGTAGGGACACCCACCCAATACTGTCACATTTCATTTCCACATATCCCATCTGTATACCCCACAGGAAAATATTTATTTCTTCTCATCCCCTTTTCCCCTTCCCATCAACTCTTGTCAGGCAATTCTCTCGTTTCTACATAAAGGACTTTTACGTAAACTGCCACATGCAGCTCAAGTCCTCTGGGGACAGTTACATAGGTGTGCAAGTGGTGTGCAAGTGGGTGCATACACACACATACACAAATAGAATGCCTCCAACAGAGGTACAGCTCAAGGTGATCTCTCAGTTTCTCTACTGTTGGGATTTTGTAACAGCTGGGCAGATTGAACTCCCTCAGGTGCTGCAAACACAGAGCCCTTTCCCTGCATGCAAATCAGCTTAAGGTAAGTGTGTGCAAACACATCAGTACAGGCATGCATTCACAAAATACAGTAATTTATTACATTTGTGTAGAGATCCCTTTCGGTTCATCTCATTCAATCCTTATGATACCACTGGTGAGCTACACAGAGCTGGTCTTACTGGCCCAAATGACAAAAAATGGGCAGAGAAAAGGGAAGTAACTCACTCAGGGTCACACAGCACAGCACCAGGTCAGCAGATCACTGGTAACTTTTTTTTTTATTGTGCACATAAATGTTACGTGTCCACATATACCCCTTTGTACAGGTGTGGTCCCACACACACTTACCACTTCTCAGCCTGTTGTGAGTGGAGAGCTGGAGAGCATTTTCAGGGCAGTTCCAACGTTCCCAAGCGAACTGGAACTTACACTCCTCAATGCCACTCTGGGCACCCAGGGCCACACTGGTGGTGTAGGTCAGATAGGCCTGGGAAAGGGAAAGGGCTGTGAGCTACTGCCCCAGCTCAGGTCCTCTAAGGTGGAGGAAACAGGCAGGGCTCCTATGGGCTAATTCACCACTGAGGAATAATTGGGGGGTCCTCTAGCATTATCTCCCCTCCCCCTTTCCTTCCCCTAAAGAGTCCCCTTAGGAACCCAGGTGGGTTAAAAAAAAAAAAAAAAAGGAGCTGGAGATCATCCTACCTTAGGACCTGTCATCAGAAAATTGTTCACTGACCTACCAAAAAGAGGACAGATGAGGCAGAAGTTAATGGGGTTGAGGCAATGGGGCTGCCTTGGGTGGGGCATGAAGGGAAACCGAGGGAGAGAGACTTACCAGGCAGAGGAACTAAGGGTGGTACAGCATATGACCATGACCACCCATAGCATAAACAGGTCCCCCATGGTCCTGCCCACCTGTAGAGGACCAGGTCCAGTCTAGGACCAAGTCTAGAGAAAAAGTGAAGAGAGAGCAGGCTCTTTCTCAGTATTTATGTGGGGAAATTCTGAATGGCCAAGGGGGGAAAATCAGCTCTTCTCATATGTCCCTCAGTGTCAGGGATGCAGGAGCCACAGACCCAATGGGGGACCAGGGAGGAGGGACTCAGTGTAAAGCCTGCATGGAAGGCCCCGCCCAACCCTGGCCAGCTCAGCCAGCCCTTCTTCACTTCCTTCCAGACTGAGACAGGGGCTGAATGCTTTCTCCTACCCTTAGTGTTTATTTCCTCTGTAAGTCAGAGTTTTGTCTCTTCTGCTTGAGGGCCCATTTCTGAAGGCCAGACTAAGCTTCTAACCCCCTAGTCAAGTCACTTATCCCTCTGAGCTGCAGTGTACTCATCTCTCAGTGAGACTGCATTCCTTGTCCTGACTTCTTCTCCAAGGTGTTAGGCACCCTCCTGTTCATTTTACCCAAGCAAACTAGTGCACCATTCCTACCTCCTCCTGGGTGACTGCAAATTCATAGAATCATTTGGGACCATAGAGCAAAATCACCTCAGAGGCCATCTCTGCAACTGTCCTTTCTACCACATTTTACCAAAGAAAGCTCTTGTAGATTTCCCTCATTCCTAGTAGGTAGTGAGTCTTTTGTATGCAAACTTTGTGTTTGCTCTTGCTCAGGTTCTTTAAAGAGTGTAGTTTGTATCTGCCAAAAACTAAAAAACCAAACTCACTGCCATCAAATTGGATTTGACTCCTTAACTCCTTAGATTTCCAAGGAGGGAGCTCTGGTGGCATAGTGCCTAAGGCACTTGACTGCTAACCAGAAGGCTGGCGGTTCAA